ATAGATACAAAGGATTCCTCAAAGATTTCCTAAAAGGGAACGATCGAGTTCATACATTTTCAAAAGCAAAGAAATCGAAAAAAATGTCAACAATTGTTCATCTGACGAGTGTATTGTAATTTGTTTTGAAAATCTTGACAAACTTTATGGCATTACTGAACGACTAGAAAATGAAAGATTGCAACGACATGTAAGTTTATGATTTATTGTATCGTTTGCAGTAAAGTGATTTTTTTGTTCTAGAAGATAAATGAATTTTCGAATAATCCATTTAAGCTCGACCTCTGGCTGCGGGTATTTAAAAAGAAGGTTCTATCATTCATTAAAATTGAAATACCTGGCTGTTTGAAATTATTGAACCTTTTACAATAGTGATAGCAATGTGTATTATTTTCATAATGTTAAATATTTAATTATTAACTAAAATTGATAATTAAAATATTTTGATCCAGTAGGTCAAATAATTAAAATTCCATGAACAAAGTTTATGTTTCACGTAGTCCTTGGAATTTATCGAATTGGCAGACATTCATGATCGAATTTTTGAAGTGACTAGCAAATTGATTGATCAAAATTCGATCAGTCATAAAGAACGCCATGAAGGCAGCTTTGAAACTTATCAGGAGTGTCCTGTAAGTTGTTGCATGTGTCCTGAAACTTTTATAAACTTTGGAACTCCTTATGAAGTAAATTTGACTTTGTCGAGTGGGCGGAATTTCGGTTAAAAAAATGCGGCATTGCAAAAGAAGATACAGCGGAAACAACGAGAAGCATAAACTAGAGATAATAAATATTTTTAACGAAATTTTGATTAAAATCCATATTGAATTATTATATCGTAATTTTATTCGCATTTCAGATATGTCACTAAACTTATGCATTTTTATTATCAGTGTCTTTGATTTCAGTATCTACTGGAGCTTAATGGAAAAATGTAATAATGAACATCTTATACAATTATCATTTTACACAGAATGAACTTACAAAGGCTATCCAAAGAGAACAGATTCGTTTATTGGGTGAATGAAATGAAATATACATAAAACCAAGATGTTACCTATAAAAGTCACAATTAATATTGTCGGCATCGAATAAATTTTTGTGTTAAAAATCCGAGTTCGTAAATTTTGTAAAGCCTTGAATTTGTGGTAGAACGCCGAGCGTGAAATTTTTCGTTAAATTTCGGAAACACGTGCAAATATTTTGAGGGTTTCAAAAATATGGAAAAAAATCAACTTATTGGCCCACGGTAGGTCTGGGTCGTGTAATCGATCGGTGATACCTTCTTATATACTTGAATTTAGATTTAAAATCGCAGTTGTATGTTGCTTTTGCGAAAATCCATTTTCGTGAAAATTTATGGACTCGGAATTGACCGAACTTGTCAAATCTTTCTCTCATCTTTTTCTTTTTTTTTTTTTTGATTTTTTTTTTTTTTTTTTCAAAATATAATACACGAATTCCACCGCTCGGTATTTCGTCAAATTTTTTATTACATCATTTGTTTAACTTTTCTCCCCACAGTATTTCGCAGATGGCGTCACACGCTTTCCGAGTCATCCGCAACCCTCTACCTCTACTTTGGTTTTCATCCTCATTTCTACACTCTTTCACTCCCACGCGCATTTTTTTTTCCCACGAAAATTACAGTTCGCCCAGAGTTTCGTCGTTAAGTACAGCCTGCACAACCGAGTTATAACGAGAAACGTTTCTATGTTTCCCATACGAAACTTGCACCCACTGGCTGTCCCTATTTCTCATTTCAGGGTGATAATACGGTTTTCATGAGAGACGAGCCGTCGCGCCATTGAATCACATGAAAATGATGGACTGCTATATTGAAAATTTTTTTTTTCAAAAATTATTTCAAAATTCATAGCTTTAAATAGGATTAACCTCCATTTCCCGGATACTCGTGTCTCGTTCTCCAACATATGCGCATTGAGCAATCCTATAATTGAACTCGCAGAAAAAATGTTTCCCAGGATAAAATAATATCTAGGTACTTTCCTCGTTATCCAAAGTGGGATTTAACGATTTGACTGTAAGAAAAATCCGAAAAAATGTCATCTATGAGAGAACAAAGATCTTGACGTTAGGGATTATCGAACAAACCATTTTAAAGTTAGCATCTCTTATCCTACAAGCTTCCTTCACAGGGTGGACAGATATACGAACCCGTTTGACTGACGGACTTTCAGAGGAGTTAAGGAATCGGTCCAGGTTTAGTATGGAACGACAAGCCGGGGTAGCAGAGTCACCCCCCGTCGAGTGATGGATGACCAGGAAAGAGTGCGATTCCGGTATCAAGCTGTGAACTAAATCGAGGACGAAAAAAGGTGGAACCAGCAACAATGGGGATGCGGAAAAGCCGTAGCCTGAACTCTCTTCTAATTGATATCGCCAATTTGTTCGCGTCTTATCGAATCGCTATTAAATTCCGATCCACCTGCTGAGCACGATAGCAATGATAATATTTACTGCATAGACTCTTGGTTAACTCGTGTGAACGTACGATTACATTATGTTGGACAATCTTTGCTCTTTCAAATTTAACTTTATTTAATCGTTTGTTCCAGTAACACGTGTAAATCTGTCAGTAGATTTGGTTGATAGAGTCGAAAGTCATTTCGTCGGTTCTAAATTGTTTGGGGGCTGAAACGAGAAGTTCCTGGCGTGGATAAGGGTAGTGGAGGTTCGTCGATAAGTGGAACGCAATAACAATACCAAGGGTCGGCAAAGTGGTGAATCGTGAGTCTTAAAGGGTGAATTGAGGTAACGGGTATAGACAGGGGGAAGAGAAAAAAAAAAGGAATAGAGAGAATTCGATATAGGAAGACAAGAACGTGGAAGAATTTTCAGGTGGAATAAAATTGACTTCCATCGATCCCACCCTTAGTGATTGACCTTGAGTTATGGTCTACCCCCTGAGCAAAACCGAGTCGTAAGCCATGTAGAGATTCTGGTCATTTTTCAACGAGCACCCCCTCAACTGTTTTTCTTTATGTAACCTTTTTCCTTCGACCCTGAACGAGAGCTACATTCATGGCAGAGTGAACAGCGGAAAAGTTCTTGGGGATACTATTTATTTGGCCCGTACTATACTTACCAATAATGACACGTCCGTTCTCTTCGGCTTTTGCCGGTCTGCGATAATTGAAATTTTTTTTTGTTTCGAGTAAAACCTCAAATATTCTCAAAATCTTACCAGATTCTCAAAGGTATACAGCCTGGACCAAAAGTCCCACTAAGATGTTTCATTACCCAAGGGAAACCCACCGACTGGTACTCAAGATTGGATGCACTTAAAACTAGCAAATAGTAGGGAATCTGTAAACAAGCAAACTAGCATAGCGTCTAGTAGTTTCCAGTTAAATTGAAGTTGCTGATAAGTCGTTGATTTTCGACGCGGGAAAGACGGTGGGGGGTTGTTTAATCCCTAAGGTAAGAGCGCACTGAAGGGATAAACCGGAGGAGCCACTTCAAAAACTTTCTACAACTTCGATCCAAGCGCGTTAATGCATTCGTCCGTGCGTACGCGTTAGACGGTGTACATTTAGAAATGACAAAAATTTGATCACCAGACTTTTTCCTATTGCTCCTACTTTGCATTTAATTCAGTCTCGCTGCTTGTTTCCGGTAACAAAAGCTAAGGACAAAATAATGTAACGTAATTAGTTTCAAGACTTTACAACATTTTTCTCTAGTTACGTCTCGCTTTAAATGGCAGCCCTCTGGTACTGTAATTTAAATTGTCCCTAATACATCAAGCTGCCCGGCTCTGGCCCAGACCGTTGGAACGTCAAACCCCGACTACGTTTTCACGAATGAAATACATTTTATTTCACTCGCGCAAGGAATCGCGAATAATGGCTTTAGGGATGTGGGATTAAAAAAAAATAGTAAAGAGATTTTAAAGAAAAGATTTAGCCAGCTATTTGAGAATTCTCATTATATCTTCACGACTTGAGGTACGTACTGAAATTCTTAGGGGATGATTGTGAAACGAGTACGTGACGCCACTTTTACGTACTAATCCTGAATAATATGTAGTACTAGTGAAAACTTCAACTGCAGAGAATTGTTTCTCTCGAACCTGTACACGAGACTTCCTGTTACAAAATCGGATAAGCTCTTTTTGTGAAGTCACCCGAGCTTGCAAATGCGACTCTATGTAGGAACGTTAGATACAGTATATTGACTTCAAAAACTATTTGTACATAAAGCTCTGGTATTACTTGTTTTATAGTAAGCTCCACATTTCCTTCATGTATTTACTTTCAAATTTTGTTCTTTGTACAGATAGTTGAATGTTTATCTTGTAGCTGATTGCGTCAAATTTTGAGTATTATTTTCTTTTATTCTTTTTTTTTTCATAAATTTAACAAAATTTTGAAGTACTTCATTTTTCCTTGTAATTGAGTAGCAAAAAAGTAATAGCAAACTTGTTCAAAAAAAATAATAGAGATCGAATTGATCTTCCATTCGTTCTTCGAGGTCGAGAAAAGCGGAATGGCAATCGTTGCTTTTGTGAGAAAAAAATGTTTAACGTTCTGGGAATTAAGCACATGGCACGGGTATTTTTTCGTTGCTTGAATGGAATTCGTGAGAAGACGTAATAAGATTGCCGAAAGAGAAATTTGTATTAACGACAGAATCGTGTAGGAATCACGAGATTTCGTATTTCCCGGTAAACTGTATCGTTGCTTTGAGAAAAGTGAATTTTTTTTTTCCTTAAATCTTTTCAAAACCTGTGCACAAATTATATACCTCCACTTGATAAACGTATACGATGAGTACAATAAAGGTAATAATTTACAAAAATTCTGCTGAATCCGTATAAACAGTAATTTAAGTAATTTAAGCATGGCTCAGTTCTTCGAACAATGGCTAGAGTCTCCTCTTCCTACGTTCCACTCGTGAAATCTTCCGTCGCTCTTCCTTTGAAAACGTCCCGATTCAATTGTCCGCAGTCTTCTCCACTGTTTGGTAGAGAAAGGAAGGTTATGACGTCATCCTGCAAACGTCGTGGTATTTTTGGTAAAAGATAAAAAAAAAAAAAGCAATGAAACCGCCGTCGAAGTCAAAATCCGAGTCCAAGGTGCAGAGACAACTGCACGAGGACGCATGGCGGAAAGAATTGGAAGCGATTAGCATAAACGACGAGCACTGGTGGTGCATGATAACCATGATGGTGGAGTCGTCAGCAGAGCACTCGCAGTACGTGTCCATGTTGAACGAAGCAGCCGAAGGTGACAGGCGAAAGTCCGTATATCTCTTGAGCGCGAGACAACTTATAGCATCCGTTAAAACCCTCTCGAAATTTGAGCTGGATAAGTGTCCAACAGTTCAGGGTATTTGTCACTATGCTAACAAGTTCCTGTCTCAAGGAGAAGGTTCCTTGCCGACCTGGCTCCTGGCCAGGATGATCAAGTTCCTGGTATATCGTGCCAAGGTCGAGAACGTGACACGAGCCAGGCGCGAAATGATACTCAAGCGTGACATCGAGATGGAGAATCAGCATATGCAAATGGCTGACAGTCCCGGGGTGACAAGTGCGAGCAAACAGCGCAAAAGGACACCGGCCGAGGACTCGTACGCGAATGCCAAAGCAAATACAAGGCTGAGAAAGCGCGACGAGGAGTGGCGTGAGAAGGTGTACGTCGACGATGCTCCAGAGGATGGCCCTGACCTTTACGTAGTTCTCGTGGGGTTCTATGATCCGGAATTGGTGCTGGAATTGATCAGGCTCGATGTTCCTCTGACAGCTGTACTGAAGGTGAAGGGACCTGAGGATGTAATTGAATTCGGTACGGACGATGCTGCCGCGACGAGGAAGGCTAAGACGTCTACTGGTATTGGTTTCAGTAAACTGAGTCTAGTCAGGTTTTGGGACGAGTTCGAGAAACGTATAAAAAATTCTGATACCACTTTGGATTACTGCTGTCTCATGCGGCGTACCTTTTGTCCCCCTGCAATATTACCACTCGATACCAACTCTCAGTTTGAGGCTGCCAAGGCGGATTTGTACGATAGAATGTCCTACATAGTCTACGATCTCTATGACGTGTATAGGCAGCATGTCTCTTACGTGAGGAGTATGAAGCTTCAGAGCGGAATAGTCGAGGTTAGTAAGAGGGAACGAGAAAATATGAAGACGTATCACGAGATCTTAGATTCTATGCCCGTGGAAGCTGCGATCGTTCCAATGATACTCGACGCTATGTTGACTCAGGTCGAGGACGATCTTGGTTCTTCGACGAGTGACTTAAGTGAAAATTTGGAAAATTTGGAAAAAAAAAGTGTAGTTACGTACGAGGGTGAAGTGGGAGAAAATCATAGAAAGAGACTCGAGGAAAATCGAGATTTGCGGATGATTCTTCATGGTGACGATTTGACTTTGAATAATTGTTTGGCTGATGCGAGGAATGGAATTTTTCGTTTCACGGAAGAGCGTGTTTCTCTTTTCGTGGAAATTTTGAAAAATCTTGACAACGTTTTACGGAATATGGGAATAGCTAGGATTTGGAGGGATTTTCCAGAAGTCAGCCGAGATACACTGAGACTGTACGAATATCACATGGAAAAGTTAGGAAAGTGTTTCGAACCCAAAGCAATGAACGTCGAGAGCGTGTATCATTACATTAATCTCATGATATTCGATAAAATGATTTTTAAATTCGATAGTGTCGAAAATAATACGAGGAGTAATACTCCAAAAATTAATTCATTTTCAGATATCACATTGCAGGACTCGAAATCCAAATCGATATCGGATTACAAAATTTCTTACTCCAGGGATGATAATTTATTTTCAAAAAATAATACTTCGACTCGTTCCTTCAGCGATAGTCGCATTGATTATGGAAAATCAATGGAAGAAACGTTCGAATGTATTCCTCTGATTTCTCTAATAGATCCCCTTGAAATGTTTGATTACACGTTGGCAGAAAAAATGATACTTGAGACCACCGGAGATCTACCCCTCAGCGAATTCGATTCGATGGAATTACTTTCAACCTCGATTTTTTTGCAAACGGTATGTACCTGTTTACGTCATTTTGACGAATATCAGTACAGATATTCCCAGCTGACGGATTCAGTTCTGTTACATTTTTATCACACGTACGAACCCGACGGGGTGTTCGAGAAACGAAAATCAGCGACTATAAGAACCCCAGTCTGTTTGCGTGATTTTTGCGATTATGTACTCAACGAAGAAGCAGACTGGTTACGAGGCGAGGAGGATAAATACAAAAATGAGATAAAAAAAGTCAAAGATACAACATTAAAATTGATGAACATCGAAGATGCGAAAACACGTGCGGAAGACTTTCGAGAATTCTGCGACGAAGATTTTATCCTTTCATCTTCACTGAAGGCAAAAAGTATAAATAGGACGCAGATCTCCGTGCCGATTCAAGGTACCGAATTAAAGAACAAAACAAAAGTTACTTCCGCGCCGAAAGAAAGCAAAGAGATAAAGGTCAAGTCGTCCGGTAAGAAAGGAGAAAGCAGAGAAAAAAAGCTCGAAAAGAAACTCGAAAAAAAGCTCGAAAAGAAACCCGTGGAAAGTGAGACGTCGTTTTTACCACGAAGAAAAATCCTCGAAGCGCGTTGCGCGCGGGATGAAGATCCTTACGATTTTATTGGATACGATCTAGGAAAGAGTCGTATTCAAATTTCAAGTACTGAAAATTTTTTTTTTTCCAAAGACGGTACCTCGGTACGGGTCTATCGCGAGGAATGGTTGTATCAAAAAACCCAATTGCACATTACCATAACATATCCAGAGTGCAGTTTGAAATTGTGTCACGTAGCAAATGGTTCGTCGTCACATATGTATCACTTGATGACAAGAGACGGTGGAATTTTAGCGTTTTCCAGAGACGAAGATAGTATTCGTAAGTTCATGACCCGAACTAATGGATAACGATATTATACCGTGATAACGTATACACGTATAAATTTTTCAGAAACGAATTCCTCTCAAGTAATAACGAAAAAAATTATCACACAATTTCGTGCTTCGTTTTCTTCTGGATTGGTCATAGAACCAGTACTCTTAGGGAATGTGGAAACTCCACTTTACGTACAGCAGCATTACGTTTCAAAGGAACAAAACTCACTTGACACCGATAAACATGAGAAATACAGAAAGTTTCTTAGAAACGGAACAGTACTGAAGTTCTTAATGAACGGCGCTGTAATCGTTTTACGACCAAACGGTACCATTGTCAATTGCCACAGTTTCGAAAGGATTGAAAAACAAAAAAATGGTACAGTATCAAGAGGTTAATCATATACCAAAACAAAAAAAAAAAGCACAGCAAAGCTAAATATACATGAAAATAAAGTTGACAGAACAGTGTCAAAGATCAAGAAAGATTCTAGCATATCACTGAACAATAAATCCAAAAGGAAGAATACAGTTGAGTCACGTCGTCAACGTGTCCACGAAGAAGATCAATTATCCAAGATCTCAGGAGATGATCAGGCGAGTAAAAAGATTTTTAAAAAACAAGCTTGAAATTCTCATAAAGAAAAATTACTAGTGTTATAAAAAAAAAAAAAAAAAAAAAAAAAAAAAAACCATGAAATGTGTCTTTTTGTTTTCGTACGTTGTTGCACACGTGAGATAACTCAAAGCAATCCAAGAACGTGTCAGGTGGTTATGATTCATGGGTATTACGGTTTCTATAGATGACGCATGAGATGAGATTAAACGAGATGAGATACTATATTACAAAAGTATATAATTATTTCATAGAATCTTCTCCGCTTCAAGCAACAAGCAAGCACTCTCGCTTTAATCCACGTTCTATAAAAAAAATAATAACAGCGTCTCTTGAATAAAAACGTCAGTTAGGAAAACAAAAGTTTCCACAGTTATCACTCATTCCATTCGCGCGTCATCTTATTATCTCATAATTGTTTCATTCTACTCCCCTTTTTTGCCCATACAAAAAAAAAGCAGACAAGCTCGAACACAGACATATCCGATTCCACTGATTTTCGAATATCCGATTACACCGTTATTGATCACGATGGAAACCATTATCAAGTTTCGAACGATCAAATCGTTCGCCAATTTGATGGATTAATCGTCAGAAATCAATCTGATTATGAAGTCGATGAAATATTTATTCGTAGGGCTGACGGAACGAACATGTTACTCAATTCGAAGGGCGAATTGATTACATCGTTTACGGGTAAAGTAATCTATGGCTCGAGAAAAATTTCATCTTACGGGACACGTGACTCTTCTTGATTCTTAGATGGGACAAGAATCGTTACTGGGTACGTAATCGAATCGGAATCAATAATTTGCGATTGGTCCATCCAAGAGTTGGAAATGTACTTTGGACAAGGCGGATCAGCTGAAAATATCTCGGATAATGTTTCTGACTCGAATTCAAACCGTGAAAGTCACACGGATCTGGATATGATGAGGATATTGAGCGAAGATTCCTTTGTGCTGATAGCGTTGACCTGTCGCTTTGAACATAAAAATTATGCGACCGTGATGTACGATCAGTCTACACTTGGGTGCACGTTGTTAATGCCTAACGACGTTGAAGTTATGATATCGGCTGATGGACGTTACGACATAAAGGTGAAGTCCGAAGTGGCCCTAAAGGTGATGTTACAATTCTCCATGGTGATTCCTAAGTAAATGTATAATTCATTCAGAACGAATAATTGCGCGAAGGATATATAGAGGGAATTAATATTTGAAATGCAAATATACAATTGGAGCTGATTATGAATATCAAATTTCAGATTGACAAAGGACAATTGGAGTTTTCGAGAAAAATTTGTCAAGCTTGCCAAGGAACTTCTGTGTCCTTTTATAATTTCGATCGATTCAAAGTTATTGACGACGATCTTATGGGATCGTTATTAAGGGCTAAGGATATGTTTGGAAATGTTTTTATTGTGAATTGGGATGGTACCAGTGATTATAGAAAAAGTTCCATTAAAAGTGATCATTTATGCGTGCCAAGTGATGATTTCACTTTGAGAAGTAGATATAGAATTTTTGCTATGAAAAGAGACTTATCTGGTTACGAATACCATCATAAATCGGTATTGATTGCACAAGATAATAAAGTTACAACTGATAAGGATACAAGTATTTTTCATTGTCCTGTTCCTGCTCGTTCTGAACTTTATTATAGTATGTCACTGACGCCATGGAACCAAAAATTTTTTTTTAAAAAATGGCCTCAGCCTTATCACGTAAGTTCATTAATCTTATTAAGTCAAATATTTCTCAGGAAAAGAATTTGAATTTTTTTTTTTTTTTATTATAAAATTGTGTTGATGCCAACGTTTAATAGGTTTCTGAACTACGAGCGACTAATTTTGAAAGAGGTCATTTCATACGAAGTACTTATTCAATTCCATACGATTGGCTTTTTCCATTTGGTAAGAACGGAAATGGAATTTTTGCGAATACGTGGAATTTGACTTTTAAAGAAAATATGGAAAACAAAATTTTACCGGATTTTTTCATTATTCGATTACTGCAGCAGATCAAGCAGAGAGACGATAACGTTATAATTAATCTACGGAAGGCCCTCCATCGTTATTTTTATTCAGTGAGTTCAGTTTTCGTCGATCCTATCAATATTCCACATGTTAACTTTATTATTATTAATGAACTTCTGATTGAACAGATGATCAATGAGTTCGGTGAATACCGATCGTACGTACCGAAGAATGAAAAAACCAAAGCTGAAACTGAACTAGAGATCGATTTGAAAATTATTTTTTTGGGTTACAAGAATACAATAAACCCGAAATATTTCCAAGAAGGTGTGTTTTCCAAGCAGAATCCGCCAGTGGAGAAAAAAATAAAAAAAATCATTACCGAAAGGAAAGAGCGTAAAAAGCAAAGAAAGAGCAAAGACGAAATAGAATGGTATCTCAAATGCAGAAGAGAGAATACAAAAATTCCATATTTCGATTTAGTAAATGGCGCTTGTTTCCTATGGGTAAATAATTGCCTAGAAAAGACCCTCGATTCCATTCATAAGCAAGAGGAGTAGAAAAACTTTAATACGTTCCTGTATATCCGAAAAATGTAAGAAATCAAAAAATTTGTAAGTTGTCATTTTTGAAAATCATTCAAATAAATATCGTCGATTCGTTATATCGAATAGTCTTTCACGTGGCATCTTCCCGATGCTTCGTGTCTGGAAGAAAGTTAATAAATCATCGGATGAGAAGAGTAAGGCCATGAACATAAGAATGTAATTCCCGTCTTCCATGCATAAGTTTCCGCCCTCGTGATTTTAGCGTACGAGGGTGGAATTCCGAGCCGGTTCTAAGGGTGGTTGGATCTTGAGTTTCTCGTTGCTCGTTGCGAGGGGTCGTGCCTCATAGGCCACACCATATGCCTCTTACATTACGAAGTATCTCGTTCAACGATTCGGTGTTGGATTTTCAATCTTTTTTCGTGCCTTTTTTTTTATCACCTTTCTTCCAACAGCTATAATTACACATGTCTGCTTACGTCCTTCTCGAAATTTCTCGACGTTCCAACTTCCACGTTGATTCCTGAAAATTCTTACAGAGTTACGAAACGCCGATCGTCTCCAACCCTTGAAAACTTGGTGGGAATTTCGTCTCGCCACCTTTTGGTCCTTATCGCAACCCCGCAGCTTCTCCATAAAATTATCCTACTATTTGCTTTATATTTCTCATCGACCGCTCCTATGCCAAGGCACGAATTTCATTCCCTGCCCAACCCCGATTATTACCGAATTACCTTCTTCTCCAATCGCACAATTCGTCTAACCTGAATATCATTCACTTTCAAATCTCCAATATGCCATTATGTTTTCAGACATTTTAAATCTGAGATTTTCGAAAAAAAAAAAAGAATCCAGGATAACGACGAGAATCGACTTTGGAAATTTTATTGAAATTTCTTACGACCTCATAAGAAATTATATAAAACGTATTCTAAAAGCTGCTACAAGAGATCCTTGTGTGGGTACATACTTGAGTATAAAATTTTTCTTTTTTACTTCCAACCATATTCTTCACAAATTTACGACCGCGTCAAGTTACAGATAATCCACGTAAAGGTGAAGTCTGGACAGAAAAAGAAAACTGATAGATACAACCAAAGACAATTATTAACCCTTAGATTACAGCAGTCGACACAGCATACACGGAATGTCCTTTGGAAACAAAATTATGACTTATTTTCCGGTAGCTCTTGGGTAAGGGTTGAAAATATCTAGTAGCGAAGGTTCATCCGTATTTCTGTGAGGAGGCGCAACGTGTAAGCGATTTTCCTCACGTACTTTTAACCTATATCATTTTCCCTTCGGAACATATGACGTCACGCGATCCCAGAGAATGGTGCGAAGGGTGGTGAGAACGAGGGTAAGAACTACCCCCCGTTCTTACACACATCCGTATATAAACAGTACACCCATAACGAACACATGTATGCTACCTCAGTCGCAAGAGGGTTGTTAGCCCGTTCTTTTCGAGGCTTCCAGGGAGCTAAAATCATAAGGGTGGGTGGGTGGTTGGGTTGAAGCGAAAGCTCCTGAAAGACGATCCCTACCGATAGGGGGTAAAGAAAAATTGCCAGGACCCGATAAAGCATGGATATTAAGTCTCTAGCGAAATTAACCCTCCTTCTCTCCATTCTTCAAGAAACCACCCTCTGGCATCCCCTAACAACCAGCTCAATGAAATCTATCGCTAAGCACCACCTCTGCAGGCCAACTTAACGGTAGCCATTTTTGGGGAGGATTACTATAACACCCCCATATCGTAGTACCCCGATATCGTTCTATTTTCGATTTATAAAAAAAAATTCTATTTACTGATTACGCAATGACTGTTAGTCCATTATAAAATTTTATATTTTGAATATAACCCGATCTGATCTATGACGTTGTTAAAGGCACTGTATATGCGCTCATTGATTTATGCTGCATGGATTCAAAAATAAAAGTTCGATTTAGACAGAGCCATATGATCTATAGCTCGGCTAGAGTTACTTCGGGATAACTCCGAGAACGTTCTCAGCGATTCCTCAGTAGTGGTGGCGAATCGGTTCTACGTCGAGAATCCGCGAGATATATGAACTGTACAAATCGCAAGTGCAGCCAGTGAGAATCTATGGGATCGCAGCTTCCATTTGAAATAAAACAAAGCTAATGCATTGCAAGACGCTGGCACAGTAGTTTATGAGTATATTGGATCCAATAGAAGCCATTTGTAATATTTGATTTCAATATTTACTTTTCTATTCGATATCGCTTAGTCGATTCGAGCACGTGTTTGCCATATTATTTTTTATATGTATCGGGATATGCTTGTACAGTAAAATGCAATTTCAGATAAAACCTTGATTTATCTATTTATCTGTTTGGTGATTCGATTGAGGTGGAGCGTAAAATGATCTTTTTAAAATTACAATTTAAAGTAGCTGGTACTTATTTTCGGAAAATTTAATGTCAAGTTTGATATTTTTTTTTTGCCTGTATACTTGCGTTCATCACGTGGGCTGTTGTAAACACGCCTTTAGATTCGCACGAGCTGCTACCCTCGTCTTTCCAAGATCTATTTCGTTTTAACGTCAGTGTTACGAGCGAACTTGGAGTTTCATGCAACTGCGTCTGGATTCACAATTCACCAGTGAAAACGTTAAAGTCGAAACGAGGCTGATCGTTTCGTAAGTCCTAATTCACATGTAAAATAACGTTCGATCGGTCCATGCGAAACGTGCATAAAGCGCGACAGCCGTTCTGTCCATTTATCTGGAGTCAAACTAGTCCCATAAACAATAAACGTAGAAACTATGAGTTTAGCAGATTATGACTGGAGTAGGTGTTACAGAGAGAATCGATAGTCGTGCAAAATTTTCAGTAGTGAATTATAGTATCACGGTTCGGTGAGATACGTAATTTGAAATCGGTCATGATAACGCTGGTTCTCTCGTTGCGAATAAGCCATTACGAATTTAGCTAGAAGGAACGATGAGGCTTTTGGCGGGTTCGTCTTTTTGTCGAAGCTCAACGAGTTATGGAAGTCAGATTTCGGGGTTTGATACTCGAGTGCTTACGCTTACGTGATCCGATTTTGAATCGGCTTGAACATCTAGATGACTGAGATAATTCATCTCATCTGGTCGCTTTAGTTATCTAGATTTCAAATTATCTGGGCGGACTGATTGGTAGACGACTGAATGGTTGGATAATTTGATAGATGAAAAGATGGATTGATTGATGTAGATGTATTCATATCATTCAGATAGATAGATGATATATTATCTGATCACCTGGGCACGGTTCACATGTGAATGAGGATCTTCCAACAGGGAGTTACTTTTGAGATGATTTTGATCGAACGACCACTTTAACTTTTCCAAATCGAAAAGATGGGATGCTGCTGGTCCTAGGGGTAAGTGGGAATTTTTGGGATCGTCTTGACCTGATACAATTTTAAGGGTCGTATATTTAAATTTTTATATTTATTATTTCGCGGGGGAAAAATGAAGAAGGTATTCTTTGGATATCGTTTTTAGACTTTTTCGGGATTCTAAGAATTTAATTAATGTCGAAGTCCTCGTTCTATTACTGTCTGAGGAATACCCCAAATTAATTGCATGATTTTTAGTGAACCATAGAGCACAATGCCAGTGTGAAGATACGCGAGAAATAAGGGTGGAAGGATATAGAGGACGAGGGGTCTCAGGAATAGCAAGTGAAGAGAATGGAAAAGAGAAAGCTTAGGAAAGCTTTGTCAAGTGGCATTTATTTCTTCGTAAAATGGCAAATTCGTTTTAACCCTCGTCCAGAAAGCTTCACGATGGAACTTTAAGCTTTTCAGCTTGGTGACTGTTTTTGCATAATAACACTTGCAAATAAAGTGCTCTGAATGACAATAATACGAAGCAGCATTAAAGATCGATATTTAAGTAAAATTTTCTTTAGAATTTCATGAGATCTCTCAGTGATCTACCGAGAATTTTAAATAAAGAGAAAAGTTGATATAATGAAAAATAATTGAAATTTCTTTAGTTATTCGAAAAAATATTTTGAAGTATTTTAAATATTTTACATTGGAGCCGGGGTTATTGGACATTTTTTATAAAATTTTTAAACACAATTTACGCATACGCTACGTTACATATTAATTTTACATTCCAGGGCCGTATGGTTACCGTAAAAACTGGTGGGGCATATCAATAATTCCAATTTTCCCATAAGGTGCGGCAACCAATACGCATAAAAATGATTTTCAATAAACATTCGAGAGGGAAAGTTTTCCGATCGTTCGTATGCAAACGAGCCAGCATGGGAAATAACTCCGTCTGTTATTTGAGGGAAACATTGGCCACGAAAATTATTCGTATGTCTATTCAGCCCATCCACTTATTCACAGGCAGAATCGATGTTCCTTAGGGATGGTGGGAACGGTAGCGGTTTTCAACCTTAAGATCAAGTAAGAGGTGACTGCGAATGTTGTTTCTATGAATGAAAATTATAAGAATGAAGTAAAAAAAAAATTTCAATTCTAAAATCCGTGATTACAAATTTCCAATTTGTATTTTCAAATTACACCATAAGCATCAGTAACGATTACAAAAAAAAGATTCAATCTTTCAAAAAAACAATAATGGACCATTTTGGTTTTCAACAAAACGATGGTCAAACGTTTCACGTGTAACGTATAAAATTTTACAATGGCTTTACTTTTATTCTGATTCTATTCAACGATACCAAGACTAATAATCCCGTTGTACCTATCTAGTGTATTTTTTATGATGGCGACATATTCAATTTTTTAGTGTTGAAATTGTGGTACCACTTGTCAGCGACTATCTATCATGGAAACGAACTTTGGCAAAATCGACCAAGTATCGCGGATGGCATTTTCACGTGGAAAACACATCAACGGCCATAGTGGTTACATTCTGACTTGTATAAATGATCAACCGGACAACCCGTCATCCGAGCTCATCCTTCTCTTGGAAAACCGTACAGAAACTGTTGTAGATATTTCTCGAAGAAAATATTTTTCCCTTTTTATGTATTTTTCAAAAACTTCATTCTCCACCGTCATAAGAACCAATTCATTACCCACTATTTTTGTCTATTTATTTTTTCTAATAGGACATAAAAGATTAGGAAAAAAAAAAGATTTATTTCAGCCCTTTCTTACGTTAGAATTACCTACTTTATCGACCTACTACGATACTGCTTAAGGACCAATTCAACTGCAGCATTTCACTCATGTTTAAACTTTTATTTGTTCACGAACAAATAATACCTAGATCGATCTGCAGATAACTCAGGAGCTTTCATATATATATAGATAGTAAATTCTTTTCAAGCCAACATCTTCAAGAGCTTCATCCTCCTTATGCGATTGTTCGTAGTTCTCGCGGTTTCTTTCTATCGTCGGGGATTTTATTGGTCCCAAAACTTTGCCGAAGTCTCATCACGCGAGATCTTTAGGTACCGTTTTATCATTCTATATATATACACATATATGTAATGTAATCTATATATTCTACCCAAAAGCTGTGCAACCACAAATCCCTTGGAACTTTACATAGGAACGAGGGATGAGTCGGTAGCTCAATGGCGGACACGTTCAGGCATTTATGGGCCCCTTACCAGGCTTTTATCACTGACGAAACGATGAAATAATCGAGGCCATTTAACGAAACGCCGACCGAAATTCGTGAAAAACTTTTAATACCCACAATTCGTGGGAGCAACCCAGTTTTCTTCTGTATTCTACAGGAGGGTTCGTGATCCAGCCTACGTTAGTACATAAGGTATACTATTTTTTTTTTTATAATAAAATAAAGTTATTAATTTAATAACTCCATAAATCAGCAAATAAAAAATCGATCCATTTTTGACTTTTATTATAAATAGACGTGGACTCGAAATCCTTCGAATAATTAAAGTACAGAAATTTTTTCTTCTCCGTTTTTCTTTATCTAATTTTTTTACCTATACATTTTTCTTTAGTTCATTCTATTATGTCACATCATACCGGGTCTGGAAAACCGATTTGGAAATTCTTTTTTATCTACCTCGATTAAATTTGTTATCATAGTGTTTTTCACGGGTTTTTCTCTTCCACTTCCTGTTATCCTGTATCGTGACGTTTAAATATATTATGAATAATGTATTCGTAAAAAAATTTTACATCGTGTAGCAAAATATTATCGAGTTCGCCTCTGGTTCTGAATCGCTTCAAAATTTAGACGCGAAAGTTCACCTTCGAATCACATGAGCTCAAACGGGATACAAGGTGACCCGTGATAGAAATAGATGAGACGTATCAGAGATCAAACGTTTCCTCGGTCAAACATATACCTCGTTTGGTAATCAGTCTAAACTAATCAGTCACTTCAAGCGACTGGTATCTAAGAAGCCACATAAGCCTTTCCCCAACCTGACCTTGTGCCCAATCGAATATACGGGTGCGCTTGGTTACCTGACCGCAGTTTAAACGCCGCTCTCGCCTCTCCATAACAATCGGAGCTTAATTATTCTAACTAATTACGGGTCTGATTAATTGGGTTAAGTTGGGTTAAGTTACCGAGGCCGACCCTGCAAGCCTTTCCATTTTTGAAGCGCCAGCCGCAAGAGTCCATAGTGGCTGAAATTCTGGGACAAACAAATTTAAAGTATCCCCCAAGCACAGACTGTTTTTACTCAATAAGTAGTTGTGGACTTTCATTAAAATTTTTGACTTTACTACGTTTCGGTAATGTTATTCGATAAGCGTAGATTCGATTTCCCATTTGCACCCTTCTACGAAAGGATTCGGATAGAGTAACGAAGAGGGGTTGTAGTTTTGATGTTTGCTGTACTAGATCGCTCGTACTCATTAGGTTCTCATAGCACGGTTTAATCATTAATATTCATTAGTAAACGCTGGAAAGCCCCAACTTGAAACATGTCTGTCGCTTGGATCAGTTTCTTTTATTCTTTCCTTTTAATTCTCATTTGAACATCAAAGCGTTTCAAGATGCCTAATTATCGATTTAGAAACTGGTGTACAAGTCTCATACTCTCTACTGTGATATAGGTGGGAGATACACTTGCGTTAGATCTTAATATAGACATATAGACATATTGAATGATATATCCAAAATTCAGGCGCTGATTTCGAAATATTGGTATCTGCTTGGAAACTTGTGTTACAGTTAAAAAAAATGATTTGAAATTATGTACATCTGCCTGTTGCGTCATTTTGTAACAAGATGGTCCATCCCTGATCTTCCTATAAGAATACAGCAGTTTCTTGTGTACTGACCTATTAAATTAGAATCATAGGGGCAAAGATAAGTAGAGCTATAATTCTTCCACCAGACCAAACTTCGTGGTCCATACAGCATCCACTGCGTGACAAGTGGCCGTACGACGTGTGTGAACGCATCGAGGGAAAATTGGAAAAGTGCCAAAAAATATTGGAAAAATTCAGAATCGCGAAAAGGCGAATAAAATCCTTTTTATATGGTTAGTAAAGATCGGTCTTTCCTTCGTCCTTTTTAGGATGTTTTTCTTATCCTTCGACTTCGCTCCCTTTGAAAGTCTTTCGAACGTCACAGTCACTGAGATTCGTACTACTGGCATCTCTTCTTTTTTCTTTCCTTACTACTTTCTACTTGAAATCCTAAAATCTGCCTCTGGAAATATTTCGTAACTCTACTACGGTGTTACAGCTATACGTAAGACGTTACGATTTAACGTTGAATCACGAGAATTTCGGGCAGCGTTAAGCGCTGAAATATGCCCCGTCATTATTCAGCCTCGAGTTTCTTATTATATCAAGGACGTTTTCTCGTCGCGAGAGAATACAGCCACGTTTATCTTCGGGAGCCCTTTAAAGCTCATGGCTCCTACTTTGGCGATGCTCGAGGATTTGCCGCCATGCGGCGATCGTTAAAACTTTATAAACGTTTTTACCGCGACCGATCAGCGGACCTAAAAGTTGGAGTACACATGAACGTTATGAAATAATATACGCGGCTTTGAATATGTATTTTCGTTTTGCACCCACAAGCCATTTCTTATTTGCTGACCTACTCGAAAAATAATTTTAAGAACGAGCCACGCGATTAATGTATAATTACTATATCGATGTAGTACATGTGACTGAACTTTGAGAGAACCTTGTCGAGGGATACGTCGGGATACATCGGGAATCTAATTGAAGAAAAAAATACAGCCACTTGGGACGTGTCTAAATCTGAAAGGATCGAGTGGGACGTCCCTGGAGAGGACAGTTGGAACTAGTAAATCTAAGGATACGCGGAGTCTTTCGATGTCGATGTAGGTTTTTCATTCGGAGCAACGAGCGCACTCGAATAAACCACTTAGAGCACTTAAGTTCAAGTGGCTGTACTAGAGTCAGTAGTGTTCAGCAATACGATGGGAGTTTAAATAAAATGAAATAAATGAAATTTAGACAGGGACGCGTGTACCGTTCTAGTTTTCACCGATGGAGTAAAATCAAGTAGAATCAAAAGAAACACGAGCAGTTCCTGTTTCTTGGTACTTGTGACATTTTTTTCTCACATCAATCTTCCTCCGGTACCTCGAGGAAATTTACGGGACAGGAATAGAACTGGGTTCACTCTACGTCTACGTATCCCAGCGAAATCAGGATCTGGCTTCTGTCCAGAGAGAGGAAAGTCGGCTTCGCATTGATTTTTTTTTAAATACCGCAAATTGTCCGCCACCTGCCGGCTTGAGGGTAACAGGTCGACGACCCTTCCGATAAGAAAGGAAATTCTCGCGGAAGAATTTACGACAATATTTTCCGAAAAATTCAATTGGAATCATCGAATTTTTTCCGGTATTGCTTTTTTGCAATATTTTTTCTTTTGTGAATAGAAATATTAAGGGTGTTTTTTGGAGTATGTCAACTCTTGGAAAAATGACAGGTTATCGGCTGAAAATATCTTGGAATGTCGGAGTTACGCGGAAAATGATTTCAGGCCATCATTTTTTTAGCAGTATTGAAAACGTAACAAAGTTTTCGGTAGAAAGGTGAAATTTTTGGAATTCCTTTGATCCGCTTTTCCTTTAAGATTGACGGGCGATCAAAACCGAGAATTTGAAATGGAAAATATAAGGTCTAAGCTAAGGGTGGTATAGAAAAGAAAGCTTTTCGGGGTGTAGGACTGAACAACAAATGAGACTCAGTACAATTACCTGCATTTTACGTTCATCTAAGAGCTTAACGCTATTAAAACA